GTCAGTTTTTAGTGAAATTTTGCCGGGAATGGGGCTTTAAACTTCATCGAGTCGACACCTGACTCAAAGTATGTCTTAGTGACTGCTGATGAGGCGAAAATGCATAAATTTGTTTTTAGAATGTGATCTGGTTCAAGGCACCCTCCCCACACCCCCCCTAAATTTTTTTAATGGAAAAAAAAAGAAGAAAAATATAGGCCCCTACTACTTACTAATATTATTTGTGATGCAATTATTGCAATTTTCACTTTATCTCAAAACAGTCCTAAAAACCTTTAGAGCCCGCTACTCCCACCCCCAACTCCGGGGTCCTAGGTACCTCACATAACGGCTGCCCCCTTTCAAAATCCTAAACCCAACAAGAAATGGTGCCAAAAGTTTTATTTGGTGAGTGGGGGCGGATTGTATAAAACGTTAACCCCCGGGATATTATTGTGCATTTCAGCACCACCGTATGTCGTTTGGTCAACACCCTGATTCAAGGGTGGTTGGAATGGTATGAAGGCTGGTGGAGGTGTTTCCACTGGATATGGTGCTATGTAAGCCGAAGGATTCGGATTGTTGACTACGCTATTATATGTGGGCGGTGGTGCCGACGGCCATGACGATGGTGGGGCTGAAGGATAAATCGGACTAGGCTGGTACCCATTATTTTGAACTTGTAGAGAAACATTGGTTACAGGTGGATTACTGGTAGCAACTGCGTTTGAAGGTAGTGGAGTCTTTTGCTTACAGCAGTGATAAAACACGCACACCAAGACGCACCCAACAACAATGATTCCAACAATGATTGCTGCAATAACGAAACCGGATAATCCTGTGGAGAAAATGTATAGAAGTTTTTTTTTTTCCTTCTTCTCTTTCTTTTTTTTTTTTTTTTAATTGTTTTGTTTTGTTTATATTACAGAATTCAAGTATTTGGAAATACAGCTATTTGCCTACATATTTCAAACGTATTGATTCAGACGACGATGATGATGATGACAATGATGATGATGATGATGAAGAATTGGAGATTTATACTGTTTTCTTTCAATAGAAAAAGAAAACCACAGAGGCAGGATCAGCGCATCCCAGTCGATAGGTGTACAAGTCTGGTGTCACAGAATGTCCGTTTAAAGTAAACAAATGAAGAAGGTGGGGCTACATAATTCTCACATGTATTTGAGCTGTGAAATTAAGGTTCCATTTTGTTTAAAATGCGGTGGTGAACCATCCTGTCACACCGCTACTTTTGAAGCCAGAACTAGAACTCCTGGTTATACTATACACTTCAAAATTTAACTTAGATGATGCCCAAGAATAATCTCACCTGCTTGCACACACGTTAGTGCAACACCATTTGTACATCCAATTGCAGTGTCGTCAGTGTTGAAATAACAATCATTTAGATGAGACTCTTCTCCAGTACACTCAATCGTAAATGTATGGATTGTTTTATATGCTCCGTCGTATGAGTACGAATTGTCCCACCCTTCTTCAGCTCTATCATAACCAAGTTGTCTGCAGACAACGTCTGATGCATCGTTATTCCAATTGTCCGAGCACACGGTACCCCAAGTGCCATATAGGTATGCTTCAAGAGTCCCTTTATCTCCGTTATAACCTCCATAGAAACGTACATCGCCCTGAGCGCCATCTACACAATTAAATATACACATTTCTATAATAAATGCTTATAGGCCAAATGCAATGCTCTTAGTACTCTTGTTGCTGCTACTACAATCACTGCTGCTGCTACGTCTACTGCTACCAATAATAATAATAATAATAATAATAATATAAATAATAATAATAATAATAATAATAATAATAATAATAACAACATAATAATATTGTTGTAATAATAATAATAGTGATGACGAATGATAATAATTAAAATAATACACTACAATACAATAATATTTCCAGCAATAAAAAGAATACTACCTTAATACAATTCACCTTTTTAAATAAATTAGCAGGAAAAGGAGGAAACTGAAGTGGCATAATGACGATGATTATGAGACGGCAATTCTGACGATAATGATGATGATGATGATGATACTGGTTAAGAGAATTAAAAGAAACAGCAATAATGTTAACATTAACAATAATTATAACCACAAATTCTAATTCGTCATCATTGATATTATTTTTGTTTGGTAAAATAATTAACAAATTCACTTACAGCCATCTGTACATTGTAGTTTTACTTCTTCATAATAACAGTAGTTATACAAATAATGAGTGCAATCTAGAAGTCTACTTTCATAACCATTGCATTCGAAGGTATACCAAGATGACGTTGAGCCTGAACTAGCTGGGATGTTGTCGCCATCGATCAAGGTTTCAGCTCCGTCGTAGCCCAACTCTCTACAAGCAACATCCGAATTGGTGTTAGTCCAGTAACCCTTGCAAGCTTGTACCCACACACCACCATCGAGAATTTCCAGTCGACCAATATTTTCATTAATTCCATCGACAAGGCGTACTATGAAATAAGAATTTATTTAGCCAACATGGTGTCGTACCTACGTAGTGTTATTTGTGGCTAGTATAGGGTATGTTATTGTAAATTGAGTATTAAAATTAAATGGCAAAATGATAATATAAACTGCGGTATATAAGCACTGTGGGACTACTCTGAACAGGATAATAATGTGTTTTCACAAGCTTAAAAACGAATACGGTTACGTCATCAAATTTGTGGAAAACCATTCCCGTACAGTAACATATCTGCCACAACGTAGGCGATTTATGCATTTGCATAAATCAAAGCTCATACAGTATATTTTCAAGAATGTTTTAGGCACGAATGACGATAATGATAATGACGTAGGCCTGTTTGTTTTGTTATCGTTTCCGTAAGGTTGCAAAATCCCCCTCGATATGATGACGATATGTGCAGCGGCGTAGGCTATGATGACGATGTAATGACGATGATAATATTATACTCACCTGATAGGAATAATGTTGATAATGATGATGAAAATGATATAATAATAATAATAATAATAAATAATAATAATAATAATAATAATAATAATAATAATAATAATAATAATAATAATAGCAGTAGTAGTAGTAGTTGTATAGTGATGATGGCGATGATGATAATGAGGATGATGACGACGTTCTTTTTAGAACCGACTTCAAGCACGCAGATAAACAGATTATTATTTCTAATGCTCAAAATACCGATTTTGATGTTACTATTATATAATGTTGCACTATTGACTAAAACAAACCTGAAGAACATTCAATCGCCACATCCTCGGTGTGACTACAGTCCTCTACACCTATGGTTGAATGTGAACACGACGAAAGACTAGACTCCCAACCAATGCAGTCAACATCATCTAAAAAGATGCTTTGGTCATATGCTCCTTGATATATAGAACTGATTAGGGTCCGCACTGGATACCCATAACCGAGCTGATGACAAGCAACACGCGCCTCTGCATCACCCCATCCATCATCACACACTGTTCCCCATTCTCCTCCATAGTAGACTTCAAGACGCCCCTGAGAGCTTGAAGGTCCATCAGCTAGACGAATTGACAACTCCGTTGATAAATCTGTATAAATTTAATAATTATTAAACGAAAAAAAAAATACAAGAAGGTCACAATTAGTTACACACGTACATCCCATAAATCCGTAAGATTTCATTGCCTACCGTAGGTAAACATAGAAAGAGCAATAAAAGTAAAACTCGAGTGTCACGACATTGCGAAGTGTCTGCTCTTGTTTCTCGTATCGAACTCGAGTCGAGTCAATCCGAGATGGCCCGAGTGAAGTTTCATGCAAATGTTTCGTACGGAAAAAACATCGACCCTGCTTTGCTTGTTGGTGGCGCTGTAACAACTGAGACTTTAAAACAGGGTTGCCATTTGGCCTTTTGACGGCCAGATTCCTCAAATCTGGCCTATAAAAATGTGTCTGGCCGTAGCATTTGAAAAGTCACGGCCAAACTATATTTGGCCGAATTTGGCAGAATTTTTGGAAAGTTTACATTTTTTTTCAATATAGGCCTAATATAACGTAGACTTGTTTTGGATATTTTGTTTTTGTTAGCTTAAATTCTATATTTGATTCTAATCTTTTACCTTTGTTTGTACTTGCACTAAACACTTAATCTATGTTTCCCGGTTCAGCCGATTTGACGTACGAGAGTTTATTTAAAAGATGACATTTAATAATTTAAATTGTTCGGATGAAATATTTTGTTTATGAAGTTTATCCTCGTTTAAGCTTTATGAAGACAATTCATTGCAAGTTTGTACCATATATTGTGTCTTTGTATATGTTCCATCTTGTTAGTGGAGGGTTCTATCTCTTTTGAATTTCTTTTGAATATAAATTAAATACTGTACTTTAATTAATTTATTATTGCCCACATGAATTGTATAGCCCTAGGTGCCGCAGTGTTCTTTATGTATAGCGCCATATACAAATGCTTGATGTGATCATTCGGGTCCGATGGCACCTCCAATTTCAAGCAAGTTTTGCAGAGGGACTTCTTCGAAGTTACTGGAGTTAGGTTGCATATGAGAATGAAGAATTCTGATAGCAACATTGATTTATTGCTTTAAGTACTGCGACAATGACATTCAGAGGCGAATTTAGAAAGTTATAAAAAGTATTTATAAGTTTTCATAGGTTTGTTTTAACGCCAGTTTGTGTTACCTAACTATGTAACTTAATTCATTCTAATTAAAGATAGCCACGGATTTGCCAATAACAGGCCCTTAAAAATTTTGCTATAGATCGACTACAATGTACATTATATTTAATACATTTAAATCAAATTTAGATCAATCTTAATATTGTGATTTTAAATAGCAGAGGTGGATTTAAGGGTGGTAGAAAAAAAAATTAAAATAAAAGAAAAATTGATCGCCCAAACGCATCAGGCTATTTTCGGGCGTATAGAAAAGACAAATTTCCTCTAAGATGATATTAT